TTGTCTGTTTGGGTGTCTATTTGTCTGTCTGTCTGTCTATTTGTCTATATTACTATCTGTCTATATGTTTTTCTGTCTATATATTTGTCTGTCTGTATATTTGTCTGTCTTTCTGTCTGTCTATATATTTGTCTGTTCGTCTGTCTGTCTGTATATTTGTCTGTTTGTCTATCTACACTGTATAATTGTCTGTTTGTCTGTCTGTATATTTGTCTGTTTGTTTGTCTATATGTCTGTATATTTGTCTGTCTATATATTTGTCTGTCTGTATATTTGTTTGTCTATATATTTGTCTGTTTGGGTGTCTATTTGTCTGTCTGTCTGTCTATATGTCTGTCTGTCTGTATATTTGTCTGTCAGTCTGTCTATATATTTGTTTGTCTGTCTGTCTGTCTGTCTGTCTGTAAATTTGTCTGTTTGTCTATCTACACAGTAAAATTTGTTTGTTTGTCTGTCTATATATGTGTCCGTTTGTCTGTCTGTCTGTATATTTGTCTGTATGTGTTTGTCTTTCTGTCCATCCGTCCATAAAAAGATAAAAAGACACAAGAGCAAGCAGATTATCTCTTTTTTACATAGTGTGCTGGCAGGTAATCAAGTGAAGACATGTTTCTTTTGTAAATTTGAACTAATTAATTTCTCCCTATTATTCTTCATGCACACAAATAGAAGGCGACTGCTGATTCTGGTCTGTCAGTATGAAACAGATTGAGCAGAAATTAGAGAGGTGCATCTGGGACAGGAGATGCAGCGTGAGAGAAGCATTTTAAACAGCAAAGCAAAGAGAATAACAGGAGGAAGAGATACGTTTAACTGTAGCCTCCTATGCTTGTACTTGTGTTCAGTTCTCGATTACTGTAGTTAGTCTATGTCATTTCATACCAACTAGACCTACAGCAGATGCTATTTTGTAATAACAGATAAACCTTTAAAGCAGGTCACTTTTATTCTTATTTTAACATTTTGTTTTGGTATATTTTATAGCATTATGTATTTGGTATATGTGTTTATACTAAATTTAAAATGCATCTTTCAACACTGACAGTGCAATAAAACAAAGATTGTTAGTTTATTTTCTTCTTTATATGTGGTTTAACTTTGCAACTCATTTGTGTCATTTGAAATGTGATCTCAGTTGTTTTTTTTAATTTGTTTGCTTTCAGGTTATTTAAAAAGATTTGAATAAAAACAGCTCTCAGATGAGAGGACATAAAGGCATAAGGTGTAACAATTTGTTATATCTGATGGCTTTTCGGGTCTCATATGATATACTGAAGCACAGTGTCTGCCGGTGAGTCTCAGCGGATGCAGTAAGTCATCTGGGTATTGTTTGCCTGCTGTTTCATGAATAATGCATATTCGTACACTCTTTGGACGTTCTGCTTTTTCACCCTATAATACTGTATAGAAAAATCCATATTTGATTTTGGGAAATACCCCAAAACTGTGATTAGTTGTATTTTGTCTCTTATGTAACTGACCTTATTTACATCTTTTGTTTAGAAATCTGATATATTGCAATATATGCAAATTGCATAAATGACATACAAGTCCAATTATGTTTATAAATGGCAAAAATGGCCGCTTTAATTGTTAGCAATTGGATTTACAAATATGTGCATATATGTTCAAATATATTAGCTATTTGAGCAATATTACACGAGTAGCAGTGCGATATGGCTGTATATCAGCACTGGTTGGAGGAGTGCATTGTGTGTCCCACCAGGGATGATATACAGCTACATCGCACTGCTACGAGTGTGATACTGCGTTTATATAACAGTTCGACGGCATATTTGTGTGTAGGGAAAAGAAAATCAAACACAGAGACTCTAAAAACCCTTTTGTTAGAGGAACTACTTTCTTCCGCAGTTCCCTCACATTTGCAGCCGACGTCAGAACAGCAGAAACTGTTGCTACTTCACCAATGTCACTTTCAAGAGTTCACACTTAGCTGATGATTTACAAAGCTTATTTGGCATGCTGTCCCGGGAGAGAGCCCCGAGCTCAAGGGCTCCTCGAGCCCGGGGCTTCCTCCCGTTGGCAGAGCAAGAAGGGAGCCTGAGCTCGGTTGATCTCAGAACTCCCCTGCCGCTGTAGCTAAGGGAACGTAAGGAATTAGACCAGCTTGATTGTTAAGTATGTTGAATGTCTTTGGATGGTGGGAGGAAACCGGAGAGCCCGGGGAAAACCCACGCGGACACGGGAAGGACATACAAACTCCCCACAGAAACACTCACCGGTCCTATCGAACTAGGACCGGCAGTATTCTTGCTGTGTGGTTCACAGTGCTAACCACTGGACCGCCGTGCCGCCCAATTACAGGTAAAGGAGGAGAATAGGGGAGGAGGGGGGTTTCTTCCAAACGAAGATAAAGTGAACTGAAAACTTAGACTATTTATGGTGCCTTAGGGCTCATATGATTGGAAGATTAGTGATTAGCAAATGCGAGACTGGACGTGATAAATCATAAGCACGTGATCCTCTCGAAATTAGTTTATGAATAAACTTCACTTAGAGCTAGCATTTGAGTGATTCTCTAGCATAATGTCTAAAGTGATTACAAAAGAGGTGATTTTGCTGACATTTTAAGATTATTTGATTAAACACTTCCAGAGTACTGTTGTGTTTGTAAAAACGCTAAATACATGCGCGCATTTCTTCATTCTCTCTTTTTACAGATCTAGTAGTCTGCAGTAACGAAAACAGGAGACTCATTAGAAACAAACAGATGGACAACTAAAAAGTCTCAGTGAGTCCCATCTCACACTCAACACACTACAGTTCTATGTTATAAATACAGCACTACAACATACAAAACAGAGAGATCGACTAGAATGTCACTTACCTGTTTAATAATGATTTGATCAGCTGTAGTTAAAATTACACTGTTTTTCTCCTCTAAGCACTTATTATGCAGTCTCTGTCGCCATTTTGTTGATGGACGACGTCAAGTGTTCATGCTCTGCTTAGTGACAAGCTAATGGCTGCCGATGTACTGTCTCTCAGAAATTACACAAATTTACAATTGACACTGTCCTTATAAATAAACTGCATAAATGAAAACTAAACAACTACATTCTCACCTAAAAAAGCCTCAGAAGTACATTATGTCGTCCAACAGCTGCAATATTTGTCAAACTATAGAGTGTCCTCTGCTTGTTGCTGTATTTGGGCAGAGTAATACACAAGGAGACTGAACGAGTGCTGTTATTTACAGAATATCGCTCGGCTATCAGCTTCAAAAACCAGACAGAACTGTTGTATAAAATGTTAAATATGTGTTCATATACAGTGTATTAGTCAGCATTTAAAGTGGATAATTGTTCTAAAGCTATTGAACAACATCTATTTCTGTCTTGGAATAATTCTAAATATTTTTTGGATCACCTTAAATTTTGTCTATATATAGTACACACATATATCGTAATACAGTATATATAGTAACACTTTAGTTTAAGAAATACCATTTAGTGACTGATTTACACCATTTACTACTAGCTTATTACTTGCCAATTATTAAAATATGAATTGTTTATTAACAATTATAAAGTATTTTTATTTTACATTCCTACCTTAGTATCTAACAAATAACTATATTTATTGAGCTAAAAGTCTTAGTTTGTTAAGTTTTTATTAGTGCGAAATTTATATTAAAATAAAGTGTGAACATATATATATATATATATATATATATATATATATATATAATTAAATTAACGTGTTTGAAATTCTAATGGTTGAAACACAATATATAAAAATCATACTTTTTTTTGCAATATTTTAAAATACATATTTCATAAATGACATTTTATATCGCATATGTAAAATTCAAATATGAACTTCTATGTCATATTTGTTGTTTGCATATTTCCATGTATCAGATTTCTAAATGATGCTTCAAGACCTGACCTGGCAGTACCAAATAAGATGGCCATCCAAAACATGGATCTCCAGGGTTGAAAGTCTGATTCTTTGATGTGCACTTTTGTGACTCTGTTTACGACCAGCAATCCACCTGGGAGGAACGCGGTGCGTAATTTTCCGCTTTGTGATTCATATGAAAGCATTTTTGTGGTTTTGGATTGCGATGGCATGCACAATATTGCGTTGACCAGGCGCAGAGATGCCATGTCAGTAGTGTGTGTCACGTGAACAAGCTCTCTGTCTCGCGCCTCCGTCTGAACCTCCTCCCTCATCATCACAACCAGCGACGGCAGACCGAGTACGATCCGCATCAGCAATCATGCGGTCGCGCGGAGAACACGGTAAGGCAGATCTGCTTGCGCGTGTGAGTGTTTGTGTGTGTGTGTGTGTGTGTTTATGCGTGTCTACGGCTGACAGCAGAAGCGCGGTTGTATTTATGCTTTTAGACATCGTGTGCGTTGCTCATCTCGGTGGAGGCTGAAGGCGCAAGGCGATGCAATTGTTGCTCGGCGTTGTTGCGGATGAAGGTACCAGAAGCTCTTTGTCAGCAGCGCTGCTGAGCTCATCGACATCTCTCTGACCGCACATCATTTCCATTTAATCAGGCATTTGCGATAATGGGATTCGTGATTACTAATTCAGCGATTCCTGTTAAGACTCCACGAACGTTCGTTTTAGTGGGTTTGTATTCAAATATGTAGAAAAGTGAATTGTTATTGGAATATTACTGTCTTAAATTGGAAAAAATATTTAAAACAGAAAATATTATAGCCTAACAAATTATAAATGTTGACGATTAAGTGACTTTTTCACTTTTCAGACTTTGTTTTCTCAGTATTAGACTAAATAAAATAGGCAAATGATGCTGTCTGATGTTATGTGATTCATTCACTAGCCGCTTTATATCTATTTCTTAAGTGGCGTTTATAGCATATCCATGTGTGAGTCGCTTATGAAGTCCGTGTGTAATTGTTGGGAGGAGTAAAGCATGTTAAAATAAGTTACAACCATTAATAAACAGTTACATACTTTTATTAAAGTTTTAAATTATTAAATAAGATTTTAAAAAGATAAATAAATGTGCAAAGTAGCCTAGTGTTCAGCAAATGAGTCTTATTCGGCAATCATCAATATGTATTTTGTATTCACTAAAAAGAATCGACTCAAAAGAGTCATACGTTGGGGAATCGAATAGCACTCTTCGCGCTTAATCCCATAGGTTCACAGAAAAGAACTGGTTCGAGAATCAGACTTCACTCGTAGCATGTTTTCACTAGTGGTGGTGTTGCGTTGGTCAGTTGTAGAGGAAACATAATGGGGAGTTGTAGGATGCTGCTCCGTTCACATCGTCGGAACCCGAACATTCGAGCGTAATGTTTGAGAGCGTGCGTGCGTTTGACAGACTTGAGTGTGTTTTTTTTCCAATCTACAGCCCTTCCTCGCGCCTCCCTCTCTGAACGAGGTCCTTAAATGACCCACGACCACTAAGAAGCTCGTGCTTTCCCTGTCCGGATCATGGCATGCGCCCCATCCCGGACTTCCACACGCGCGGCGCCGAGGCTCGAGAGCAGTGAACATGGGGATCAGGTCCAGAAATGCCGCTAACAGCGCCGAGGACTCGCGCGAGCGTAAAAGCGCGCTGGCCGGAGACCTGGAGCAGTGCGCGGGGCAGGAACGGGACGGCGCGCTGCTGCTCGTCGGCTCGGGGAGGGAAGTGGACTTCAAAAGGGGCTCGCAGAACATCGGGCTGCTCGCCAAGACGCCCCTGGGATACACGCGCCCCGTGAAGAGGAATAATATCAGGAAGCGACGGATCCAGAACCTCATTTACGACGCGCTCGAGAGACCACGAGGATGGGCGCTGCTCTACCACGCGTTTGTGTAAGTGGACCAGATGCATTTCACACCCAAGCGCGCCCACACACAGAGGGAACAGCCCCTTTAATTATAAATTACAACAATTCAGTTCAATCCAATTTGTTTGCGCGGCCCTTTTCATTGTTCCATGGCAGCAACCTGACAGAGAATGTAATCCATAAGGGCAGGAGGAACTGGATAAGATTAATTGTAAAAGATAAATGAAGTGGAGTGAGATTAGAAGTAATGAAATGCAGATACATGCAAATCTTGGTATCTGTTGTGCACAAAGATGTTTACTCTAGGGGAGCAAACTGTAAACATTTAAAGAGAAACCTACAGCAATCTGAATAGTGAGCTTATTCTTTGTTATGATTATTTTGCCTCTGATTATTCATATTTACAGTGATGTATTGTGATATGACTTGATTTATTAAAGGGAATGTTCACCCTGAAGCAAGCATTTGCTGTTAATTTTCTCATTCAGTACCATCCAAGATGTAGGTGTCATTGACAGTCCAAAAACAACATGTATTCATTCAAAATTAAAGCCCATGGCTCCTAACGAATTGAAGTCTGTGGAAGCAAAACAATCAGCCAGTGCAAGAAACTGAACATGATGTATAACCTTTAATTCACAGCCTCTTTAACTGGTATTAAGCATTCACTTTGTTTTACTTCATTAGACCCCAGAAGCAACAAAATAAATGAGTTTTACCTGTGTATATGTACAAGTGCTAGTCTGACCTGCATTTTTTCATAAATCACAAACGAAGCACCACAGTTTCAGCAAAAGAAAAAAAATCTTTTATATCCTACTGAATAAAAAGCATCTTGCATGGCCTGAGGATGAGTAAATTAGCAGCGAATTTTCTATTTCGGGTGAACTATTCCTTTTAATTAGCAGCAAAGCTGTTGTTTTGTGCTTTTGCTGTGAGCACTTTGAATTGTATAATGTGTGCCCATTTGCGCTGGAGCTCTCCATGGTGCTGAAACAGAGCACAACCTCCAGCTGCTAGTGACCAGAAATCAAAGCACTTATAGCTGTCGAGCTGCCGTCTGTTCTAGTATAACAGCAGCGTACGCTCGCAGAAGAGCCTGAGATACTGTCTGTGATCATACCACTATGAGATAAGGACTTTGTGCTGCTGTGACACTGAAGTAAAGAGCTCCAGCCTTAACGAAGTGCACTGGAGCTTTCCGTGGTGCTGATATCAGTGTTGGGTGTAGCGATTATACAGCGGTAACAATGCATAAGTGACCCTTGTCTTTGAGAGACACGGATATATGTTAATGCTGGTTAAGTGGGAATTGTTCTTTGTCAGGCATTAGAGTGCAGATGAACAACTTCCCTGAAGCCCCAAGCCGACCTCTATAGCTCTCACACACACAGACACACACTCTTACTTGTATATGTGATTTACGAGGACTTTTCATAGGCGTAATGCAGCGTTGAGCAAGCTTCTTGAAAAATGTAGTGAGCTAAGTTATTAGTAGGGCTAGACAGAATCTGCGGACATTTTTAGCTATTTCTGCAGGTAATTTTGTAAGAGATCTCCGGATTCATGCAGAATTATTTTGGGAGTATCTTAACTAGAAAAAAGAATTAATACCTTTTTAACTTTTATTTATTGTTTACAATGCAAATACTTCTATATCCACGTATTTGGTAAACAAAGCAAATCTATTATGTAATATACCTGCTAAAATAATATATTACTTTACAAACAGTTTTTAAAAAATCAAATGAACACTTTCATATTTGTCAATAATATTACTAAAATTACTGTAAAAACTGAATAAATTTAAACACATTTACACAAGTAAATATATAGACTCTATAATGGGCACAGATTCTGTGTGGGCTTAGCTATACTCTACTTAAAATGTAGCTTAACTACGCTAAATATTACCCTTTGGGAAATGTTGCAAGCTGAGCTAAAAGCTACTTGGCAAAAGTACCTTAGCTACATGTAAGCTATTTTTGCCATTTTAATTTCTAATTGAATCAACTTAAATTCAAATCAATCATATCTTCAATAATAAAAAAAAACTGTCAATGAAACATACAAGGCATACTTGCTCAGTTCAATTATTTACTGTTAATAATATGCTGTACTAAACAGAAACAAATTACATTTACATTTACATTCAGTCATTTAGCAGACGCTTTTATCCAAAGCGACTTACAAATGAGGACAAGGAAGCAATTTACACAACTATAAGACGACAATGAATTAGTGCTATAGGCAAGTTTCAGGTCTGTAAAGTCTAACAAGGAAAGTATTTGTAAATTTCTTTTTTTTTTTTTTTTTTTGGGTACAGTTAGTGGTATATCCAGAGAGGCAATGGCAGATTAGGAAGTGAAGTGGAGACTAAATAGTTGAGTTTTTAATCGTTTCTTGAAAACAGCGAGTGACTCTGCCGTTATGATGCAGTTAGGGAGTTCATTCCACCAACTGGGCAGATTCGAGCGTTCGGGAAAGTGATTTCTTCCCTCTTTGGGATGGAACCACGAGGCGACGTTCATTCACAGAACGCAAGTTTCTGGAGGGCACATAGATCTGCAGAAGTGAGAGCAGATAAGAAAGAGCAAAGCCAGAAGTCGCTTTGTAGCGATATAATATATAACAAGAAATTTGATTATAATATATAACAGCAAAAACTAAAAATCCAATAAAACCAGGCCACACATTTAAAATGTTTAGGAATAAGTATTATATTGTACTGTATATTTACAACTCTTTATTAATGAATTACACTACATAAAGTAGTATCATTAGTAACTATCGTGACCTAATAGTAATTACCATAGTATACTTTAGCCTTTACTACAGTAAACTATGTATATATACCTCCTCTCCCTCAGTCATCTTTACATCAAGGAAATTTCTTGTTAGCCTAATCAGTTCGCGATGTCACCCACTGGAGCGAGAGGTGGCAGTAACGCATCAAAAAGTTTGTTGTCGACCACTGTAAAACAGAAAAAAGAAAAAATCGTCATTCTCGACAGCATATGGATTTACTTTCATCGGCTAGGCACCGTCCTCCCAGATGCGTGAATGCCAGTGCTGTCACTTATTGATCAGCAATCAGTAAATGTAGCTTGTGTAGATGCTACTGTGCTTTTTGACCAAAAAAAGAAATTTGCTACTGAAAAGGTATTTGATTTAGAAAGTAGCGATGCTACCGCCACGCTACTGGGAAATGTAGTTATGCTATAGCGTCAAAACTTGTAGCGACTGGGGATAAAACTGGTAGAATGTATTTTGTACTGTAAAACATTTATTTTATGGCATTACCAAGCCTCTACCCCTAAACCCAACCCTTACAGGAAACTATGGAACATTGTAATTGTTAAACGACCTTGTTAAGTATGATTTTTAAGTGTATTGAATTACAAGGAAATGATACATGTCCTCATAAACCACCTTAATAATGTAATACCTAGGTCATAGCCATGTTGTTATACAAATCTGTGTCCTCATACTTGTATATCTGATTTACGACGACTCTCCATAGGCAAAATGTATTTTGTACTGTAAAAACATTTATTATATGGCATTACCATGCCTCTACCCCTATACTCAACCTTGCATTTTGGCAATTTTATTGTCAAATGACCCTGTTAATAATTTTTACGCATTTTGAATTACGAGGACACAACACATGTCCTTGTAAACCACCTTAAAGTAATACCTAGGTCATACTTATGTCATTATACACATCTGTGACCTCATAAATCACACACACACACACGCACACGCACACGCACACACACACACACATGTTTTGTTTTTGTGAAAAGTGGGGACATTACATAGGTTTCCATTCATTTTATACTGTCCAAACCGTATATTGTATTGCCCTCACCACACCCTACCTCAAAACCCAACCATCACAGGAGACAGTGTGCAGCTTTACTCTTTGATTAAACTCATCCTGTAGGATTTATTTGCATTTTGAGAAATGAGGATGTCACCAATGTCCTCATATTTCACCTCCTTTTTGTAATACCTGTGTCATACCCATGTCATTATACAGATTTGTGTCCTGATACGTCACAAAAACACGTACACAGTTATCTTTATAGGGACTTCCCATAGACATATTGAATTTTGTACTGTACATGCTGTATATTTTATCCCCTACCTTTAAATTCAGCCTTTACATTTTCAAAATACTTAATTCTCTAATATTTTCAAGGTATTTTCCTCATGGGGACCAAAAAATGTCCCCACAAGGTCAGAATTTACTGATATTGCTATACTTATGGGGACATTTGGTATGTACAAGGTACACACACACACATGCAGACACACACACATTCATTCATGGCCCATTTTCTGTGCACTACCCTTAATACCTTATGCAGGATATGGATCATACAGGATCTGCAACTCAGCACAGCATTCCCAAGTGTGTGTGTGTGTGTGTGTATGTGTGTGTGGTTTCTTCAATTGCATGAAGGCTTTTAACCAGGCCCTTTGTATCATGTGGGGTTAGTCCCACCATATTAATGTGAATAATTAATTTTAAAAACTCTCTGTGCCGAAATGTGTTGTGTCATGTAAGTGTGGTTTGTGCAAATGGAATTGTGTGTGCGGGAATGATTTGCAGAGTTAAATAATTCAGCTGGCCTCCACCCTAGCCTTCCAGTGTATCCAGAGGAAGGGATTAAATTAAGATGTTAAAAAGGGTGGGGCTTTTTTTCTTCTCCTTTTGTTTAGCCGATGCCTTTTTTTTTTGTTGGTTCCAGTATTGGTGATGTAGTCTACATAAAACATCTGCAGTAACAATAAAACCAATATATTGCAAAATAGGACTATATCAATGTAAATAGACAAAACATTTATAATAACACATATGTAAAAAGATGTATATGTAATAATAAAATAGAAAGAATTGTCAAAAAAAATCAGTCCAAGGCATTTGGACTGATTTTTGTTGTTGTTTTATTGAATCCCTTACACAAAGAGCAACAACAAAACATTTGAGCAACCGCTGAGCGCTTTTTGTTGCTT